TTAGGGTTTAGGGTTTAGGGGTTTAGGGGTTTAGGGGTTTAGGGTTTGTAGGGTTTAGGGTTTAGGGTATATTGCACAGGGATTATATAGGGATTCTATTCCCTTATTCCCTACAAAGAACCAGTATGAAGATGGGGATGGGAGTGAGATGGATTTTCCTGCGCACATTTGTCAAGATCAAGGTATGTCCAAGAAATAGGTGTGCCCCTCTGATACACCCCTAAACCCCAAGCCCTAANNCTGGAAACCCTACACCCTAAACTCTACACCCTAAACCCTAATTTCTGCAAACCCTAACCCGCCTAACCCCCCCTAACCCCCCTAACCCCCCAAACCCTAAACCCCAAACCCTAAACCCTAAAACCCAGGTGAAATGACTATGGCAAGGCAGCCTCTGTGAGCCACCCTTCAAAGATGGCTGGTTTCAGAATCGCCGAACCCCTGCATTAGTCGTATACTGCTCTACTAATACGAGAATATGCTTTTTTTTGTAGTAGAATGTATTATCAGCATTTTATAATATACTAGAGTATGTCATAGTATACTAGAATATACTGTAATATAGTTTAATGTACGAAAAAATGAAATCATCATATAGTAGGCCTATTCTAGCATATTATCATATACTATATACTACACTTGTTTCTTTTACTTTCACGCCGTCATCTTACAGCATGTTGCTGTTATGTATTTCTGTCAGGCTGTTTCGGTTTAGCATAGACTCGCACTCCCGCGCCGGACCCTTACCCGTTGGAGTCTGCGCCGCTTGTTTCACCTCCGCCCCTGACTGACACGTGGGACCCCCACTCATTCTTATCAACTTTCCCTTGGCAGTAGGGAATGTAGGGGTGGAAAAGGAATTTGAAACCCTGATGTATGCTTTCAGGGGCAATATAAAGATGACCCCGTTCACCCTCAACCCCTATTGCCCTCATCCACTAATCCCTAAACCGCAAGAACAGGGATCCACTTCCCTTTCCCTACTAGCCACCAACAAGCTCAGTATCTTACATAGTGGAGCTTCTCCCAGTGTCAGGACGAGGCCATCTCTGAAAAAGGGGTCCCTCTACTTCATCCTGTTAGGGTTTAGGGTTTAGGGTTCCTTACTTTGCAATTTCGGGAGCAGACCCCCTTTTTTGAGGTACGACGGAAGCTTTTGCAAGCATGCAGTCTTTCTTACTGGTTCTTAGTAGGGAACATGGGAGTAGATTCCATATATAACCCCTATAGAATATATTGCCATATTCCCTACTAAGCCCCAGTAAGGTCTTTGTAAGCCGGATGGCTCCGCAGGAATCATTCGTCGGAATAGAAATTGCGGAATTTTGCAATGTAGTCAGCCATGCAGAGAAGTACGTTGGCACTACTATTATTATTATGACTACTGTTGCTAGTATACTTCTTATTGCTAGTATTCTTAGTATTCCTATTATTGTGTTTATTGTTAATTACTATTATTAGAGCTTGGTGACCTTCCCGCGTCTGGACATTTTGACTGGTACTGTTGATACGAAAATTCTTGCATGACCTTAGTATACTATAATACCATACTTCCCAAGGTATAAGGTGCCGCGGGTCATGCAGGATTTTTAACATCCGTCGTATGACAGTCATTGTCTGCAGTGTTCGCAAGTAGTTCAAAGTCTTTTGCCATGTTGTTCGTAGGTCCTACGAGCTCTAAGCTGTTCTGCATCTCAGCATTTGGACGCACATGATGGATCGTGAGCCACTTGGTCCGTCGGCTAAACTCCTTAAAGGAGGTTATACAGGGCTTTATATAGGGGACTCCTATAGGACTTGTTTAGGGGGATACTAGGAGTTAATAGCTCAGCTACGAGTGGTCTTTCTAATCTTTGGCTCCTTCAAGGAGTGGAGGATGGGTGGAGGGGTCCAAAGTGCGCGCCCATTGCTGGGGGTGTTTCTAGTCAGAGGGGTATTTCCACCAACAGCAGAGGGTACTCTGAGAAACAACAGCAGCAGCAACAGCAACGACAGCGGCACGCGGCTGGTGTTGCGCTTTCGGCACGTGTTCTACATGTACTACTGATTCTGACTGCTATCTTACGATGATGAAACTTGCAAGGAGTAGTACTTGTCCCGGTATCCTAAACCCTAAACCTTAAATCCTAAACCCTAAACCATGCTGGCTTTCATGCAAGCTGCCTGCAGAGTATCTGGATCGGATCAGAGCCCTCAGTCAGGTAGGCAGGCACAAGGTACTCTTCTGGCCTTGTGGACTGCACGGCCATGGACCCTGCATCATCTCTGGAAGAGGCGCCAAAATGTTGCCTTTTGGTTTCATATGTTTCTTGTGTGGTCCCCCTTATGTAGATAGAATATGGTTTTGGGTATATTATCCATATACCCCATATTCTATCTACTTAAGGCGACTGTAGCTTCTGAGTCTTTCGGGCACAGCCTCCAGTTCAGATGCTTCCAAAAAGCTAGCGGGCAGGAGTCCCTAGACAGGGGAGCAGGCTGTACATGTGCAAGGCGTGGGTGGTTAGGGGCTGGATCCTATTCTGGGTTGGTGTTAAGGAATTTTATTCAACTTACTATATAGGGGAAGCCATATTAATTACTACATATACTCATTATGGTGACTTAAGTTAAGTTCCTTAACAGCAACCCGGTATTCGGTGGATCGCGCAGAGGGCGTTGCAGGGAGAAGCAGGGACACAGCGCATTGGGAGGAGGGGAGAAACAAAATGAGAAGCAAACTCCAGCATCCAATTCCGTTTTCGCCTTGGGGGATGCTGGCTCGTGCAAATCATTATAGTACTATTTTCATTATATTGTTATCAGTAGTATTCTTACGATTTTTACTGAGGTAATTTGCGATTTTTAATAGTATCATCATGATTACTAGTATTGCCGGTATTTCTATTATTAGTTTTATCATTAATACTATTATTACTATTACTGCCAGCAAGACGACCAGGCTCTAGGTTCTAACGGGATTGGCGATGCACGCGTAGCGCAGTGGGGCTCCACTTTTTCAAGTTCGTTCCGTATCTTGCTGGTTGTCCACCGACAATGTAGTAGTTTCCCTAGAGAGGGAGACCCTAATACAGACCTCTAAATACTATAACCCTGGTAATAGGGACCGCCCGCAAGGTACCTTCAATTTTGAGAAACCATTGTTTTGCTCTGTAGCCAGCAAAGCAAAAAGCCATTGCTTCTGTCTGGTACTCAGTGGCCCAGGGAAACTGCCAGTCTACTGTATTTGAGCTCGAGTCTAAACCCCTAGTATCTCCCTTAATGTCCCCTATAGGAGTCCCCAATAAACCCCCCGTTAAGCAGTTCAGACTATAGATCTAGGCTCTCATTGCCCACTGAGTGCTAGGGAGGCTCTGAACCTTCAACCCTAAACCAAAGCCATAAACCCTAAACCCTAGACCAAAACCCAGAAGTCAACACCCAACACCCTTGCCTGCAGATGCTCCAAGCGCACCACAGCGAGCTGCTGTTCCGCATGGACAAGCTGGATGCTCTCTTCCGCAGGAGCCATTGTAATTCTTGCTCCATTACTCTGGCGGTTCAATATTTTCGTAAACCCTAAGATTTTGGGATTTCGGTTTAGGGTTCAGGATTCAGGTTCAAGGGATGATTAAAAGGCTACGAAGCAGACTATGTAGGGACTGCCGTGGGGGATCCCTTTTCCCAGTCTCAACTAAGCATGGGTATCCTTGTTACCATCACTCTCCGGAGGTTTGCTAATACTCCTAGGGTTTAGGGTTTGGAGTTCAGGGTTTAGGGTTTAGGGTATATTCTTATCTGTCTCATTCCCTGGTACACCAGGCGGCGACGCGCAGAATCCAGAGGGGATGTTGACAAGCAACAGGGAACAATGAGCGCATCCTCATTGGACATCATGTCCGATGAGTCTGGGATGTTGCCTGCAAAGCCACGAACAAAGGCCACGAGTACCATGAAACTGCTGGTTTAGGGTTTAGGTGTTAGGATTTAGGGTTTAGGGCTTCCAAAATCGCCAATTGGGCGAAATCTCCTACATCGAGGATTTTCGTCCTTAGACGCCATTAGGGGTCCCGTGATTTTTTCGCATCTTCCACGCTCCTAAACCCTAAGCCCTACTAACGGCTCATGCCAGAGGTCCCTCCGAAGCAGGTGGTGCGATCTACCACGACCTACGGCCGCTACGAGCTTGCCAAGGATGAGTGACGCAGATAAAAGCTTTGGTCTAAACTCCCTTAAAATGAACCCTTAAAGTTGTTATATAGGGGCTTATACAGGGCGGTAAAAGGGTTATTAAGGGGATACTAGGAGTTTAGACTATAGCTCATATGGAAGCTTCGCATACTTTTTCAGGGTCCTTATAAAAGACCTAAATTGTATTGGGGTCTATATTAGGGTCCTCCTATTTAGGGAAACTACCAGGTGCTGTGAAATCAGAATCCCCAAAGCGAAGCCTCTTCATCCCACAAATCCCCGCGTAGAGGAGAAACCCCGACATCTTTCAATCGTATCTGGTTCAAAGTGCCTGTATTTGGAACAGAGGATCGCAGCCTTGAAAGTAGCAATCTCCAACAGTCCCGGAAGTGTTGACGAGAAGGGTTTTGGACCTTCGCAAAACTCAAAGCCAGCGGGTCAGTCGTAATGATAGGTTCTGCTAGAGAGATGTCTAGATCAGCGCCATTCTTTGTTGACCCTAAGCCCTTAATGTAACTATAATAGTTTCCATGTTCTCTTCCATTGTCCCTATATATCCCCAACATATTCTAGACTCTACAGCGGGGCGTATGCCCAAAGCGATTTGGGCTTTGGGACATCTCAGGGCATTAAGTCGTTTGAATGGTTGCAAAGTGTTGTGTGCCCCGGCAGCCCAATATAGCTTAATTCAGGAATGTACCTTAAACCATATTTAGGGTCCTAGTATACTTTAAGGTATATGCCTTAATTCAGCTATATTGGGCTCTCTGGGTGACAGGAGCAGGGAAATCGCGTCGAGGAACTGAAGCAGATGCAGTCCAACCTGGCCAATGCCACTGAGGTGGGTTGTGCGAAGCAGTCCGCGCGGCGTGCGCGAAGAATCTGGGTTGCTGCTAGGGAACTTCAATTAAGTTACTTTAGTAAGAAAACTGTATTATTCACTATATACCCCTAGTATGGTACCCTAAACCCTAAAGCCCAAACCCTAAACCCTAAACCCTAAACCAGCAGCCCAGGAATGGCGCAAGCGCTGGCCTCATCTCTGCTGTTTAATGTATTCTTTGCTCTTGTCATCGTCTCTAACTCTCTGTTTCTGGGCATGCAGCTGGAATGGAGCGCAACCAGCTTGATGGGAGGGTAGCCTACATGCATTTGGCTGTCCTTGGTGAACAAGGTCCCGAACTAGGGACCAGTATATTAGAGAATACAAATTTTCATACTAATACTGTGACTGGCACTACTGCTAAGGGTAATAATGAAAAGTGTGCTGATACTAATACTAATACTGATTTTAATGTGACCCGTTCATTTTAGGCCTAAGTGGGGCTTGAGATGGGCAATAGCGCAGTCCGTGTTTTTGAATTGCATCAGTCTTTAGGGCTTAGCGAGTGGACGTGATCCTAACCCTAAGCCCGCTAAACCCCCCAAATCCCCTAAACCCCAAACCCATCCAAACCCTAAACCCCCTAAATCCTAAACCCTAACCCCTTGCGGCCCTTGTGTTTGCAAGAAGCGCCGTGGGCCTGTTCTTTGGCTCCGTGCCGCTGTGATGCGCCAGATTTGGTAGTTTCCCTAAATCGGGTGACCAGGTTTAGGGTTTAGGGTGACCACGGTATAGACCCCAAAACACTGAACTCCTTATTCTAGGAAGTTCTTTGGCTGTGCTCAGAGGGTTCCTCGGGCCCCGTAACGCTGTAAGGTGGCTGTGCAGTCTCCATGTTTTTCCGCAGATTTCTGTGAGACTCGAGCTTGTGCCAAGGCAGGAAGAATCAAGTTTCTTCGCCATTCACGTGACTTACGCTATCCTTTTTACAGTTGAGATGACCATTCGGATCTCTGCAGTTGGACCTCTGGAATACTTTTGTGGGAATGGCTGGGCATGGAATTGGCTGGATGTTTTCGTTGTTGCTCCAGCTTGGGTGGAGCTCGCTCTCGATCTCAGTGCTCCTTCCCAGGCTGGCTCAGATGGAGGTAGGGGTTTCCCAAAATAATGGGTACCTTTTTGGGGGTCCCCATAATAAGGACTATAGTATTTTTGGGTCTATATTGGGGTCCCCCTATTTTGGGAAACTACCAGGTGCTTCAAGCAACCTCCGCATCGTGCGGGTCTTCAAGGTGACGCGGCTGTTGCAGGCAGGCAACTGCAGATGTGTTATCCCAGTCCTAATTTTCAGCAGCAACTACTGCAAACGACAACGTGCCAATTATCGGCACTGACAGCGATGCTCATGCAGTGGAGAGTGGAGTGGAAAGTGGAAGGTAGGTGGAAAGTCGAGCGGAGAGTGGAGTGGAAAATGGAGTGGAAAGTAGCGTGGAAGGTGGAGTGCGAAAGTACAGTGGGGAATGGAGTAGGCAGTGGAGCGGAAAGTTGAATGTGGAATGGACAAGGGATTGGAGGAAAGTTTTGTGGAAAGTGAGAGTAGCAAGATGGAATGAGAAGATGCACCATTTCAAGATGAGTCACAGCATCAAGACATGAATGCAGAAGTTGGGTTAGGTGCTCATGACCAAAACTCAAGACGACTCAGTGTCAAGATCAAGGCGAGGTGTGAGACTTATCACGCATGTAGACATCCCAATGCATGTGCAGGACTTGTAGAGTTTGCCTAGATGGAATTTCAGTAATGGCAGTCATGTGCGATTTGTGTTGTGCATGTGAACCGACATGTGGACTACGACATAGACATGGCTCAAAAAAACACAGCAAGCTGCATGTTGAAAAGCGAACGCTTCATCAACCCTCAGGCCCAAGGGCGGAAATGTCTGCAATAGCCTGGGTTTTCAGCACGCTGACAATGTTTTCAGTGCCTGTAAAGAACTACTTTTGGGCTCAAACACGGATGCTTCAATTTCGCTACTATGCGAGCATCTCAATTTCATACTCGCAACCTTCTCACAGCGGGAGTGCGCGGACATGGGGGGAGGCCGCAGCCTCCGCACGGGGCAGGGTTGTTCTGAATCACTGAAAGGGGGTTTCGGAGGGAGCCAGAAAGCCTTCAGCCGGCAAACCTTCAGCACAGAAGACACTCAGAGCAACCCAAAGAAAAATTGCGCGTGCGCAGCGCTAGATGATTGCTCTACCCACAAGCTTCGTACTGTTGCCTCAGTCAGGCCATCAAATGTTTTGCGTGCAAGCATGCTCGCTTTCTGCTGGCGGTGCAAGCCCATTTTGTTTAAGCCAAGCTGGCCTCAGTTCCGGAATCGCATTAGAGTGGGTTATATAAGGAAAATCGATTAATTATAAGGATTGAAGAAGCCATGGCTCCCTCGCCAGGCGACTGGTGGGTTTGATTCTGCGCCGCCCTCTGCCCCGCTATCGCGCTGCTGGACCTTGCAGCTGGGTCCAATGACTGGCAGCCTCTTGCGTGCCGTCAGCTGTGGCGTGGCGTCTGCAAGGAGAACGCATCAGCAAGTCTTCTCACCCTGGGCCTGCAGGCTCCCCTCGCAACTGCTCAGACTTTCCCGCTACTGGAGGTCCTCGCATATCCTTGCTCCGACCCTTCCTCTGCTAGAGGCTGGGCCAGCCACGGCAAAAGCAAGCTCACGTTAGCGACCATGGCTCTGGGTCTCTGGCCGGCTGCCTATGCTTGGCTCAGCACACTCGACACCTGTTGCGGCTTGCTCGCGGTAGGCCGGCTCAATGGAGCCCATGCCCTGTCAACCCGCTGCGTGTGCTGCCGCTGCTAGCACTGCCCAGCACCCTGGCCAACCGCCTCCTGCACTGGACCTTGCCGAAGTGTTCCAAGCTCGTGTCCCTGTTGTCGAGACTGGGCCTCCCACAACTCCTCGCGCTTGCCCGTGTACTGGGCCGTTTGGTGAAGCGAGGTTCTGTTTCAGATTTTACAAAGGAGCTTCAGTGTGGTGCTAGCCTAGAAAAAAAGAATTGCATTCCTGTGCTAAGCCGAGCGAGAAGACAATGAGTTTGTCCCAGCCCCGACTAAGTTTTGACCTTGCAAGCGTGCAGGACATACGACATTCGGAGCAAATCAAAGAAGAATTGTGCGTGCGCAGCGTTCGGTCATTGCTCTATACCCACAAGCCTCGTGCTGTTGCCTCAGTCAGGCTATCAAATGCGTTTTGCGTGCACGCATGCTAGCTCTCTGCTGGCGGTGCAAGCCCATCCTGTTTAGCCCCGCTCTGGCCACAGGTTCGGAATCGCATTCCTGCGCTAAGTTCCGCACCGACAATGAGCTTGTCCTAGACAACCTTTGGTTTTCGGCCTGGACTAAGTTTTGACCCTGCAAGACTACTAGGCAGAAGACACTCGGAGCAAATCAAAGAAGACTGTGCGTGCGCAGCATTCAATGATTGCTCTACCCACAAGCCAGGCTATCAATGTTTTTGCATGCAAAGATGCCGGCTCTCTGCTGGCGTTGCAAGCCCATCCTGTTTAGCCCCGCTCTGGCTTCAGTTCTGGAATCGCATTCCTGCGCGGCTAAGGCAGCACCGACAGTGAGGTTATCCCAGACAACCTTTGGTTTTCGGCCTGGACTAAGTTTTGACCCTGCAAGCCTGACAGAAGATGTTCAGAGCAACCCAAAGAAAAATTGCGCGTGCGCAGCGTTCGATGATTGCTCTACCCACAAGCCTCGTGCTGTTGCCTCAGTCAGGCCATCAAATGTTTTGCGTGCAAGCACGCTGGTTCATTCCTGCGCTAAGTTCCGCACCGACGATGAGTTTGTCCTAGACAACCTTTGGCTTGCGGCCTCGACTAAGCTTTCAAGCTGCTTCATTAGCCAGGGGCTTTCGGCGGGAGCCTGAAGGCTTTCAGCTTCGCAAGCCTTCAGGACAGAAGACACTCAGAGCATCCCAAGGAAAAAGTCTTCGTGCGCAGTGCTGGGCGTAGGTGCACGGCGAAGAGCAGTGCGGTATGTTCAGAATGACTCAAGTGCTGCCGCATTAGACAAATCCAAGTTTTTTTCAGCCATGGCCAGTATGGGCTGGCCGTTCCTTTTTCCTTCTCTATGTGGGTCCACTATATTTTGCATGAACATCCTTGTGCTGACGCGTGTCTTGCTGCTAGAGTATTCGGGGGAGATTGCTCACGCAGAAACAGGGTGAACGCAGAACCATGCAGGAACTGAAAGAAGATATCCAAAAGACATCGCCGGGGTTAAGAAACGCGTGAGTGGGGCGCAGCAAAAGTGCAGGATATAATAGTGCTGCTGTTTCTTTCTATGCTTAGGTTTGCTAGCTGGTAGCGGTGGACGAGGGAATGGATCCCGAGAGTAGCACTTATTTACGCCCCAATACTATCGTAGTTTCCATTTGTTTTTCCATTCCAACAAGGACTTGTAACAACCAGTACATATGGCCCAGTTCAGTCCTGTGCCTGTGCCAGGTTGTTCGCTCTGTCCGCCTTATCAAGTTTCTGGGGGCTTTACGGGCGCTGGTTATGTCTGTCGTGGACACAACCCGACAGCTTGCATGGGCACTGCTGTTACTCGGGTTGGTCATCTACAGCTTTGGCATACTTTTTGCAGATGCTGCGCTGGACCATTCGCTGCGATATTCCCTTGGAGATGAACATGCCCTGATGTTGTATTTTGGTGGAGTGTATCTGTCCTGTCAAACATTGTTCAGGGCCATTTTAGGCGGCCTCGATTGGGAGGTGGCCGCCAATGCCCTTATTGATGTCGGCTGGTTTTGGGTGCAACTCTTTCATACATACATAGCTTTCTGTGGATTTGCCGTGTTAAATGTAATGACTGGGGTATTTGTGAATTCCGCGATAAAGACCCGCGAGCGTGATCATGAAACTCAGCTTCAGAACAAGCAGCGGTTCAAGGAGCTAGTTTCGAAGATATGGTCCAGGATGGATTCCACAGGCGTCGGCCAAATTACAATCACCGAGTTTGAGAAAATGTTTGAAGATGATGAAATGAAAGCCTTCTTCCAGACCATTGAGATCAATGCAGTGGATGCCACTTGTTAAATTGCCAGCTGGCCTTTTCCATTTACAACAAACGTTGGTACTGTTTGATTCTGAGGGTTCACCATTCCAAGGATGAACTCGATATATTGTTAGTGCATGAATTTTGAGTTGAGTAAGCAGAAGAGAGACGCTTCAAATTTCGTATGTTGCGCCGGCGGTGTCCAATGACCAAAACAGGCTTGGACCTTGTTTGATAGCTTGGATGTGGATGGCGATCATACGGTCAGCTTGGATGAGTTCTCTGAGCGACGCAGCAGCAAGTTGACAGCATGCTTTGATTTCTGAAGTAGGTGCAGACCGCGGTTCGTGGTTGTTGTCGCAGTGCTCTGAGCAAAGCTCCAAGGAGGTGCATGCAGCTGCATGGGCCCGCCAGATCTGTGGATTTGTGCCTGCATGGAGAATTAGCAAAATTACTGGTCCCTTCTGAACATCGAATACCCTTCATCATGGAACGCTTAGTATTTTGGATATTGAAACTGTTTGATTTTTGGCAACCCACACAGTAGTATGCCTGGCATCGCAAGGTATGCCCTGATCAAGCAGCTCCACGCACTCGAAGAACAGCAACAGCACATGATGCTCGGATGTCCTCATTTTCGAGATGTTCAGAATTTCTGAAGGACGTAAAGCAGTGCCTTGGAGTTCCGCTTTTACACAAACCCCCAGCCAAAACCCCCAAATCCAAAAGCCCAAGATGCCAAAGGGGTTGCCAACATGATTCAGCGCTGAGGAGTGACTGCTTATCCAGCCTATTGGACAGAAGCCATGCTTCTTGCATCAAACTTTGGGTTAGGCCAAGTAGTACGACTAGTAAGAATAGTAGAGAAATATGAATAGCAGCAGTAGAAATATGTTAACAAGAGTATTGTTACTAGTGGAAATAATGGATTTTAGGAATAACATGATATTAGAAGATGCCAGGGCACTTCAGGGTGCCCTCAGGGATGTCTACGTCGATCTTGGTTCTGGTTCTCAAGTTTGCGTGCGTACCTCTGTGCCCAACGAACAACACAAACACCAGGAGAGTTTCAAAGCTTTGCTCACGGAGGTTTGCACTTGCAGTGTTGGCCATGACGAAAACCCAGAGAAACTAAGCCTACAGCTCATGCGTATTGGTATGCCTTCAGCAAGATGCCATCAGGGAAGCTGAAAGCAAGATTCGGCACTGTTTAGCATGCTTGCCTGTCCACTGGACCACTGCAGGCGGGGGAGGACAGCTACTCGCAGCTCGGCTCAATACACAAGGTTCAGTGCCCAGATCTTCAAGATAAGATGCTGCGTGTTGGCGTTTATATGGTCATGGGGTTTCATGCCCTCCCCCTAATATTAAAACCCCCCCCTAATATTGAATGCTCCCCATTGTGGTATAGTATAATATGTTGGGAGTATATGACATTAGGTGGGGTGGGGGGGGGTTAATGTTAGGGGGAGAAGGTTTCCATAGTCTGGCATGTTTCGATTTGCCCGAGGATGGCGGCTCTGATGCGCGAGCCTGACCGTTTTTCTGCTTAGCTCATCTAAACCCCAAAACCCCAAACCCCAAACCCTAAACCCTAAACCCTCAACCCTAAACCCTAAACCCCAAACCCTAAACGTTTGCACTCACGAGCCAAAGGAGCTTGCCGTTTCACCCCGAAGTGCTGATCTCCAGAAGCCAAAACGAATGGTTTCAGACAATTCGTTTGTCAGTTACTTAGACCTCCCAAGTACCCATCATGGTCCATGGCTAGCCTTTTAACTGCATTTGTGAAACATATATGTATGTATATATAGCTGCTATGATCATGGATACTTGAGAGGTCTAGATTAAAGAATGAGAAGTGCGTCAGCTTCAGTGATCGAGGTGGTATACCGCTGGATGGGGAGAAGTTGAAGCTCAGACTGCGGCGTCTCGGCTGGGATGTAGATTTCGACAACTTATGGGCCCGTACATATATATATATAAATGTATATTGGGTTGAGGGCTTCCACAGTTCATCGTTACTGTGGTTTAGGGTTTTTGGGAGTCTCAAAAGACATGGCTCAGGGGTCCCTGGTTGTTGGAAATGCTCAGATCCCTACTTGGCTTCTAGGCATAGGCCGATTGTGGCCCAACGAATTCACACCTAAATCCTAAACCGGGCAGATTGCACTTTGCAATGAAACAGAGGCCCCAAGTGGTAGATGTCTCACATGAGCTATGGTCTACATTCCTTAAAGAGGGGTTACATAGGGGATTATTTCGTGGAGTACATTAGGAGATATTAGGTGTGTAGACTATAGCTCACATAAAGCTTCCACAAACGAAGCCCGCTTGGCGATTTCGTGTTCGAAGCCTTTGATTTTTGATTTCGCCCCTCTACATATCCCCAGGGCCTATAAGAACGCCCCTTTGCATCCCAAGCCATAGCCCTCAAACCCCACATTCCTAAACCCTAACGCCCTAGACACGACCACCCTCCTCTAGAAAAAAGTTTAGACCCTAAATCCTAAACCCTAAACCCTAAATAATCCCCTACATAACCCCCCCTTTTCAGGAGTTTAGACTGTAACCCACATACCCTAAACGCTGAACCCTAAAACCCTAAAACCCTAAAACCCTAAACCCTAAACCCTAAACCCTCGTGATTTTTTTTTCCGGATCGAAGGCCTTCGCAAGCAGAGCCAGACTCAGTCCGCTGGTCATCCTTCGGAGGAGACTTGTTTGAAACTGGTGGGTTAGTAGGGAAGAAGTAATAAGGGAATATAAACCCTGTATAGGTTTAGGGTTGAGGGTAGTTTGGGATTAAGGGTTTAGAAGTAATAATGGAAAAATATCCTTGTGTAGGTTTAGAGGATAGGGTTTATAGGGTTTAGGGGTTTAGGGGTTTGGGGTTTAGGGTTTAGGGTCCTTATTCCCTACTAAGACCCAGTAAGTTTGGGCTTAAACTTAAGGGGGTGTGGAGTTCATTTAACTTCGTCACGCTCAGCAGTGTCCTGCGTGCACTTGACGAAAGGCGGCTGAAGCTTTGTTTTCAACAACAATCGACATCCAGGGTTACGGAGCTTGTTGATGCTGAAGAACCTGAAAACTTGCGGCTTTTGCTTTCACCAACCCCCTGTATCCATAGGGTGCATGAGGGCACCCTTCTTTTCATAAACTCCCGTCTCAGCCGAGCCGCAGGCGGGAGTCGAGATTTTGCTTGGAGGTGCGACCTTCTGGCTTTGTGCTTCAAACAATTCGGAAGACCTGTTCCCACACGGGAAGTAGGGTTTGGGGTTTAAGGCATTAAAGATTGAACAGATATACATCCCCTTACTGATGCTGGGCAATCTTCCTAGCATTATTATAACCATAGTGGGAGCAAAGATCATTTGGAAAGAGGATTCTTGTTGTCGCTTTCTGGAATCGAAACCTGCGAAATCCGCAAAATTCCGACATTAAGAATCCCCTTCAGCGCTTTGGTTCATGCATTTTACTTTCCGAGCTTTCGGAGAAGGACAGCTTAGCTTGTGGCAGCCGGGCTTAGGGCTTTCAGGGTTCATGGGGTTTGAGGCTGAGCTTTCAGCCCCCAACATGCAAGTTTCCATATTCCCTTGCATTTCTCCACTCCCTGCTAGCAACAAGTACCACCAACAACAACATGTTTCTTTTGCACCTCAAACCTTAAACCCTATAGCAGCTCTCATGTTGTTTTCCATTCCTTCGTTCCCCCCTGACAACCAGTAAGCCCTATTTGTATAGCCGAGTTTCCATCTCATTTTCCATTTGATTCTCCATCATCCCTAAAATCTAAGCCGCCAAGAGCACTTTCCAGTTTGCTGTCCATTCTGCATGTTCAATGTCATCTTCAACTATGTTTCTCTTTTTCATTTCAATCTCTATTACTCGAACACATCTGAGCAGAGATCAAAACCCTCTAGTGGGAAGCCCATTAGCGAGTGGCAATAAGGACCTTGCCGTAAGCAAACCTGTGGGTTTCGTAAGCTACCGTAAGCAAAATCGTTCCGCATGTTGGGCCGTAAGCCGCCGTAAGCTTTTATTCGGGGCTCTCCACGTTGCCACCGTAAGCGC